ACTCGGCGACATCTAAACTAGGTCCTTCTTGATGGGATAGATAGCTTTCATAGTCAATCAGATATTGTAGGTGTCCATTCCTTATGGTATTCTTCGATTCTCCTCATAATGCTCGCACTTGAGTTTCCAAGTGTTCGAATTCGCATTGCAATGACAATTGATGTGTCACTTGCAAACTTATCTGTCAGTATACAGGGAAAAAGAGCTGCCATATGGTTTGCCAGCTGGGAAATTAAACAATGGTCCCATGTCTGGAGAGTTCCTTTGTAATCGGTGCACACAAGGTACTCACTGGATAGATACTACGCTTTTTTCAGGTCTAGCACAGTCCGCAATCTGTTTTATATACCTTTTTCTGTTAATTTCTTGGGACATCTTGGACACTTGAACAGCACTGGCCACATTCGTTAAGGTGCCCAGAGGAAAAGACATCTACCGAAATTGTATTCTGGCTGGGGGAAACCCCTATGCCTCGGCTCAGATTAATACAACCATAAATTAATCGAGCCGAAGAGTTTTTTCTCCTGAGTGAAAAGTAATTTTCCTATCAATTCTTGATCTATAGGATCAATGGTATCAAGCCAACCTTTTGGCAGACGATCGCGCAAACTTTCGCTCTGCTTAGAGTCACTAAGAACGGGTTTATTACCTGTAGTGGATGTGGAGGCTGTCGACAAATTTTTCGTCGGGGTACTGTGATATCCGCAAACGCATCTTGTTGGCTCCTTGAGAGAAGTTGTAATTCCCGATGACAGAATGTATTTCTTGATTTTTTTCTACTTCAGCGGCCTCCCACTTCAAGGGTTGAGGAGCTTACCTTCTAGCAAAAGATCCACTCTTTTTTCGGTTTAGCTTCATTGGGCATTGTTTTTTCCTTTGACTGGATTTGAACTTTGAAACTAACTGCTTTTTACCTATTCCGGCTAGAATTTGGGGGCAGTGATTGTTTTTTTGATTGATCAGATCAAATTCGAAGTTCAAATTTGAAGTAAAAATCAAATTGTTAAAAATTAGGACCTTTAGAAGGGTGAATTCCCTTATGTTCCAATATTCATAGGTTCCAAAATAAAAAATCAGTCGCATAAGTTCCAAAAATTATCTTCTTGAAATCTGATTGGTTGAAATTTGAGCCAACGAATTTATGAATTGATTGTTTACTGTTCAACCAGTATAAACTCAAGCTGCAGAATAGTGACCGCTGCAGCCGCGCCAACGTGTTGTGAGCTTGACACCAAAGGGTAGGACTCTTTACGAAATCTAGGGCCGGTTATCGCCGCAAAGCGGCGACGCGCTTAGCGCGCCCACCGGCGACCTTAAACCGAGACACAGCTAATTTAGTCTTTTGACCAATTGAAAAGATTTGGAACTTATGCGACTGCTTTTTTATTTTGGAACTTAAGGGACTGATTTTTTATTTTGGAACCTATGAATACGCACCATTTAAAAGGCATTCAATTCTCTTTTGACACTGTATTGTCCGTAAAGATGTGATTTGATATGTTTTAGGTACATTTCATTATGCTCCACCGGAACGAAAACCAAGATATTTAGGCCTGTTTTCATATTTTCTGTTAACTAGCTGAACAAAGCTGAGTCTTTTTTGTTAGTTAAGGTAAAACTACTTCTTTCGTTACTTTTAGGCATGTTCAGTAAATTATTCAGGCTAAGAGTTTTCGATTATGTAAAATACTTTCATTTTGAATCAAAGTAACTGTGGATTATAACAGACAAGGGAGCAAACTCAAACAAGATAGATTAGTCAAAAGTTCTGGAATTTTTTGCGATGTCATTGTTCTAGCTGCGGAACAAAATGAATGAAAACAGTGGGCCTTAGCCAGATAAATTTCTTTTCATCCCTTTTTCTTTTCCCTTTTCTTTCCCCAAAAACAGAGAAGTTCTTCCCCCGGCCTTTGCGCAGGGGCCATGCTAATATTCTCTGTATCGTTCCAATTTTAGTATATGTGCTGCCGGGGAAAGTTATCATATTGGTGATGTTTTAAGTGTAGACTTGATTCGGCAGCTTTGAAATTGTTTAACTGAGTTAGCAGGGTTTTGTTGGATGATTTGTTGATGCGAGTTGCGTGGCGTGAAATTTTTTTCTCGGATTCATCTAGTTGCTGAAAGCGGTTTTCATTGAATCATCTGGTAAAAAGATATTTTTAATTCTTTGTTATGATCAAAATCGTTTTTTTTTTAGTAAAACCTTACCAGATGCAGTGGTTAACTTCCTGTCTTTTTGTAAGTTTTGATGCCAAAAGTCTTTGCAGCATGAAGTTTTAGGCTCGATAAACCTACTGCAGCTCCGTTCTTGCTTCAACCATGCTTTACAAAATGATCTTCTCAACTAAATTTTTTTGAGCTCACTATAATGTGTAATTAATTGGATTTTCCACTAAATTGTCGTCAGAGAAGAAGTAATCCAATAAGCTGACCTGCAATTGAGTAGTATTGTGGAAACTCCTGTAGTGCTGTGGAACCGTCATTGTAGCGTCTGCATTGCTGCATTGCACAGGCTACTGCCGCAAGCGTTTCCACAAACGCTTTTTTTGATTATCTTTCAGTCAATGTTTGTAGGTATGTTAATTTCTTGATGTCTAAAGTTGACTGGTTGTGGTTAGGGTCCTAGTTTGGTCACTTTTTGGCTACGTGGTCTGCAGAAAATGACATGAGCAGGGAATGTTATCTGACCAAAAAATGAAGCCCAAAAGTGACAAGCTATTATTTCATTTTTTGGTCAATTTTATAAAGTAAAAAGTGACACCAAAAAGTGACACACCCCTTGTCACTTTTTGGAACTTGGGAAAAAACCAAAAAGTGACAAGGGTCTACATCTTCGGAAAATAGCTGAAACTTGTCTGAAAACCCATACTAAAATCCCGAAAATACCAAAAACCACTTAAAAGGTTCTTTTTGTTTTGATTTAACACATAAAAATATAATTTACAGAATTTTCCACAAGGAAATTAAGTAAAAGTTAGAAAATCAGAAGAAAATAGCCCAAAAAGTGCCCAACCCCAAAAAAACCCTGGCCCCAAAAACAACAAAATAACCAAAAAATCGACAATTAATCGAAATAAAACATAATATTACGAATTGAACCTTTCTCAAGATGGGAATTGACAGAAGACTATAGTGAAAAACAAGAAATTGAGTATTTGACGCCCAAACCTAAAATTGGGTTGTAGAAAAAAGCCTGTTCCAAATTGTCAACACCAACAAAACAAAAGCACAAAAGCAACTCCAAAATCAACCACAGCATCTCAAATCAACTGTGAGAGATATACCTTAAAAAATTTCACTTATTAACAATGAAACTAATTGAAAATTTTCCAGCAGGGGTTGAAATTGAGAAGCAAGAAATTTAATTTGAAAAATTGATTTTCCAAAGGTCACATAACTTTTTTCAAACCTCACATCGCTTGATTGAGGCACGAACGGTTTTCCAACTAAAAAATGGACTAAATTTTTCCAACTTATATCAGGCACAAAGTTTGTCTAGATTAATTGGTTTAAAAACGGATTGATGCCGTCAGTGAAGTTTCATCTCGTTGATAAACGTATTCGAGACTATCAGCGTTCTTTAGAAAATTGAAATTGGTAGGAAGACGCAAATTTTTCAAAATTGAAGAGTTTACATCCAGGATATATTGTAGGCACTATGAAGAGTGTATATGTATAATTTTATAAATTTATTTCCAATGGTTGATGAGAAAATCCACCTTGATGCAAAAAAGCCATCACACCAAAAGTATTCCTCCGGCTCATTTTTGAATATCTCAAATTGCAAGAATCATATTATAGCAAAAAGCGTCGTTGAAAAACTCTTTATAATTGCAAAACAATGATTATTAGAAACATATATTTTCCAGCATACCAAAAGCAAAACTCTAGCCAAAATTTGTTTGAAGTTAAAATTTTTTCTTTCGAAAACTTCATCTATCTTGACTTGAAACAAACGGTTCTCCAGCGAAAAGACTATCTTAGAGTCTTACAAAAAAGTTCCAAACACATAAAACGTTCAATTATTGTGATTTCATAAGAAGAAAAATGCTGTCAGTGAAGTTTCATCTCAATGAACGATGTGTTCGAGAGTATTAGTATTTACTCCAAAAATGAAGATCGTGAAATGAGCCAAAAAAATTTTTACACAATTTTACTCATTGAGTTTGTTTTATACAGTCAATGAGGAGTTCACGTACAAAACTTCTGCTCCATATATTCCATAGACGATGAAAAAATCAAAACGGAGGAAGAAAAGTCGCAAACCTCGAAACCAGCTCAACTTCGATTTACCCATTCGATAAAAGTTGCATTTTGATGAATCACAATTCATTGGAAAGCTTCTTGTATTGGTTAAACGTGGAAAAAAAATATATATTTAAACTGTTTAACAGCTTACTAAATGCTATACCTTCGCCAAAATTGAATTTTTTTGGAAATTGTCAATTTTCTTCTCAAATTTCATCATAAATGCTTTAGCCACATTTACTTTCAAGCTAAAAAAAAGTATCTGAGACATTTCTAAAAAGCGTTAGACTTAAATGGGGATCGTTTTGATTTGTTATGATCAAAATCTGGTACCTGGTAAAAAGATATTTTTAATTCTTTGTTATGATCAAAATCGTTTTTTTTAGTATAACCCTACCAGGTGCATTGGTTAACTTCCTGTCTTTTTGTAAATTTTTGATGCCAAAACTCTTTGCAGCGTGAAGTTTTAGGCTCGATAAACCTACTGCAGCTCTGTTATTGCTTCAACCATGCTGTACAAAATGATCTTCTCAACTAAATTTTTTTGAGCTCACTATAATGTGTAATTAATTGGATTTTGCACTAAATTGTCGTCAGAGAAGAAGTAATCCAATAAGCTGTCCTGCAATTGAGTAGTGTTGTAGAAACTCCTGTAGTGCTGTGGAGTCGTCTCTGTGTTGTCTGCGTTGCTGCATTGCACAGGCTGCTGTCGCAAGCGTTTCCACAAACGCTTTTTTTATTGTTATTTTTCACTCAGTGTTTGTAGGTATGTTAACTTCTTGATGTCTAAATTTGATTGGTTGTGGTTAGGGTCCTATCTCGGTCATTTTTTGGCTACGTGGTCTGCAGAAAATGACATGAACAGGGAAATTCATCTGACCAAAAAATGACGCCCAAAAGTGACAAGCTATTATTTCATTTTTTGTTCAATTTTATAAGTAAATAAGTAAAAAGTGACAACCAAAAGTGACACACCCCTTGTCACTTTTTGGAACTTGGGAAAAAACCAAAAAGTGACAAGGGTCTACATCTTTGGAAAAAAGCTGAAATTTGTCTGAAAACCCATACTAAAATCCCGAGTATACCAAAAACCATTGAAAAGGTTCTTATTGTTTTGATTTGACACATAAAAATGGAATTTACAGAGTTTTTCACAAGGAAATTGACTAAAAGTTAGAAAATTGGAAGAAAACAGCCCAAAAAGTGCCCAACCCAAAAAAATCCTGTCCCCAAAAACAACAAAATAACCAAAAAATCAATAATTAATTGAAATAAAACATAAGGTTACGAATTAAACCTTTCTCAAGATGGGAATTAACTGAAGACTATAGTGAAAAACAAGAAATTGAGTATTTGGGGTGTAGAAAAAAAGCTTGTTTCAAATTGTCAACGCCAAAAAAACAAAAGCAACTCTAAAATCAACCATAGCATCTCAAACCAACTGTGAGAGATATACCTTAGAAAAATTTCACTTATTAACAATGAAACTAATTGAAAATTTTCCAGAAGGGGTTGAAATTGAGAAGCAAAAAATTTAATACAAAAAATTGGTTTTCCAAAGGTCACATAACTTTTTTCAAACCTCACATCACTTGATTGAGGCACGAACGGTTTTCCAACTAAAAAATGGACTAAATTTTTCCAACTTATATCAGGCACAAAGTTTGTTTAGATTAATTGGTTTAAAAACCAGATTGATGCCGTCAGTGAAGTTTCATCTCGTTGATAAACGTATTCGAAACTATCAGCGTTCTTTAGAAAATTGAAACTGGTAGGAAGACGGAAACTTTTTAAAATTGAAGAGTTTACATCCAGGATATATTGTAGGCACTATGAAGAGTGTATATGTATAATTTTATAAATTTATTTCCAATGGTTGATGAGAAAATCCACCTTGATGCAAAAAAGCCATCACACCAAAAGTATTCCTCCGGCTCATTTTTGAATATCTCAAACTGCAAGAATCATATTATAGCAAAAAGCGTCGTTGAAAAACTCTTTATAATTGCAAAACAATGATTATTAGAAACATATATTTTTCCAGCATACCAAAAGCAAAACTCTAGCCAAAATTTGATTTGAAGTTAAAATTTTTTCTTTCAAAAACTTCATCTATCTTGACTTGAAACAAACGGTTCTCCAGCGAAAAGACTATCTTAGAGTCTTACAAAAAAGTTCCAAACACATAAAACGTTCAATTATTGTGGTTTCATAAGTAGAAAAATGCTGTCAGTGAAGTTTCATCTCAATGAACGATGTGTTCGAGAGTATTAGTATTTACTCCAAAAATGAAGATCGTGAAATGAGCCAAAAAAAATTTTACACAATTTTACTCATTGAGTTTGTTTTATACAGTCAATGAGGAGTTCACGTACAAAACTTCTGCTCCATATATTCCATAGACGATGAAAAAATCAAAACGGAGGAAAAAAAATCGCGAACCTCGAAACCAGCTCAACTTCGATTTACCCATTCAATAAAAGTTGAATTTTGATTAATCACCATTCATTGGAAAGCTGCTTGTATTAGTTAAACGTGGAAAGTATATATATAAAGTTAAACTGTTTAATAGCTAACCAAATGCTATACCTTCGCCAAAATTGAACTATTTTGAAAATTGTCAATTTTCTTCTCAAACTTCAACTTAATTGCTTCAGCCACATTTACTTTCAAGCTAAAAAAAACAAAAAAGTGCCCAACCCAGAGTTCTCCAGCCAAAAGAAGATCCAGGATCTG